CCGTCATTACCCTAGTGCTTAGGCTCCATCCTTTTCTGGTGAAGGTGTTCTAGTGTTTGGCAATGCAGCCTGAAGTGTGCACGCAATAGCCACATACAAAGGTTTAGCCATAAACCAATAGCACTTTATTTTTAAGACTGTACAGTGTAATGATTGGAAAAAAAAAATTACTCCACCTGCTCAATAACTTCGGGTCTCTACATGGATTCTATGCACATAAATTATCCAAGCATGGTGCTCTGTCTTTCTAAGGCTCTCTCTTATCAGGGCAATCCTTCATGCAAACCCACAGGACTCTGTTGCACAACTCGTGACAATTTGGAGTGCGGGTCCTCCTGGCAGCACGTACGGCTGGACACAGACGGGGGACCCTGCAGGACACCGCCAATTAGAGTGGAGGCAGGTTGTGTTGCTGGGTCTGATTCTGTTCTCAGTTGCAAGAGCATCAACTGAGAGTAAATCTAATAAAGCCAAACAAGCGTAAGATTGATTTGTGCAAGAGAAGAAAATTGGAAAAGCCAGGAGAAAAGCAACTCGCAGGTGCAGCCTGTGATGAGCTGAAGTAGGAAAATGTCTCCTGAATCTTAGTGGGGGCTTGGTCCTCACCTGGTAGCCAGTGCCAAACAATTCAGCGTCATTTCTTTCAATAGGATCTGTTTGCAAGCTAAATATGTTTCGCCTCATTTATATTTCTCTATTATTTCTGTACATCTTGTTTGTATGCTACATAACGGGCAAAACCAGCCTCAGCGTAATTGGAAAGCCTGTTATACCCATCTGATTAAAATTCACAAAGTTTTACTTGAATATTGTGCACTGAAATTATAGATAGAGCAATGAGATTCGGGGAAAACTGTCCTGGTAATCAGACTTTTTTTATACTTTATGAAAAGAAAGAAACGAAAAAGAAAGAAAGAAGGAAAGGAAAGGAAAGGAAAGGAAAGGAAAGGAAAGGAAAGGAAAGGAAAGGAAAGGAAAGGAAAGGAAAGGAAAGGAAAGGAAAGGAAGGAAAAAAGAGAAAGAAAGAAAGAAAGAAATGCATTTTTAAAAATAAATAACATGAACTATTTTCACTGAGTCTATGAACTAAGCAGTTCCTACCTCTGGTGAGAACTTAATTTTCAGTGCCTGGACGATTGAACAAAACAGAGAGAGCTGAATTTTCTCTAATCCAGGTATCAAATTATCTTTCATTCTTAAACTCAGGAAGCAATAAAGTCTTTTTTTTTTTTTTTTCCTAGTATATGGACAGAAATATAGGGATATATCTCAAAATTTGCATAGCTAGTATTTACAGACCAGTACATATTGAAAAATGAAAAGCACTTATTAAGTATATGTTGATTATCTAAAAAGAAAGAAAGAAAGAAAGAAAGAAAGAAAGAAAGAAAGAAAGAAAGAAAGAAAGAAAGAAAGGAAGGAGAGAAAGAAAGAAAGAAAGGAAGGAGAGAAAGAAAAGACAGGAAGGAAGGAAAAGGAAGGAAGGAAGGAAAAGGAAGGAAGTATCAGGCTAGCAAGCCTAAAGAGAGTTTTATTAAAATTGAAAGAAGGAAGAAAATCACGGAAGTAAACAAAAGTGGGATAAAGGCCAATGAAGAAGAAAGGTCAAAATATCCACCCATGTCTTTACTACGTTGTGGCTTTTTTTTTCTGATGTGCAATGCTCTGCAGTTTGGCTGACGTACATAAAGCATTTCTGGGGATCCTTTAGATAAACCAGCAACATAAATGCAGCCTTAGATATCCAATCTCTTGCAAGCAGTTTTGGGCTTGTTGGTAGTCTAGCATAGACTGAGTTTTTGATGCATCTTCTATTGTTGTGATACTAAGGGTGGCAGAAATCTGTCAGCACTCAAGAATCAACTTAACAGGCTTATTACGGACTTAGTTCATTATCCAGAGTAGCTATTTTTCATTTACACACACACACCCAATCTTGTTCGCTGCTCTTAGTAGCCCTTTTTCCCCTTTATTTTTTTCTTTTATTTTTTGTTTTACTTTTCCATTTCTCAGCAGAGCAGATTAATTTGTCTGAATCAGAAAAATATCTGCAAATTCCAAGCAGTAAGTCTCCTTGCATAATGACTACAGCAAGTTCCCTAGCACTTTTTTCTAGTGATCACAGCTCTTCATCTCCTTAAAGAGCCAATTGAGAGGTGGTTGGGGAATGGATATTTTATGTGTGTTGCATTGGGAGGTTTGTACACTGAATTTAAGTATTTATACCAAGCTGTCACATGTGATGTTATTTTGCTGGATCATTTCCCATTGACTCCGGCTGTAACCTCAAGCAGGATGTGTTGTCAGCATCACATTTTTCCAGTTGACCTTTGCTTGATGTTCCAAAAATACAGAGCCTTGTGGGGTAAAACTAATAGAAATATTTCTGCTATTAAGATTTTTCCTACACTTTTTTTTTTTAATTCCGTTGCATAAAAATTTGATCTATGCTCCGTACTAATAAGCTATGTGGGTGGGAGGTCAAGTGTCCATAAGGTTGCAAAACAATTCGTGCAGAAAATACAAAGACAGGTCTGAAACTTATATAAAAA